TTTCTTATTAGATTGTTTCTTTCAATACTGGCATACAACTACATAGAATTTTTACAAGATAATTAAAATTTATGCCCCAAGACCATTCGCGGTAATTAAGATAATTACACTGGTGTGCAAAAATTAAGGACGAAGTCGAAAAATTAGCATGTCAGCTGAACGAAGAGGCAGAGCGGACAGAAAGACTAATCAGGAGATTAAGTAAGGTGATGTACGGTAGCAGATGCGCAGATATGCAGGTAGACATAATGGGGGAGTGTCTGAGTAGTATAAAGCATGTTGTCGGTGTAAGATCAGTATTTCTGGCAAAGAGATTGCACGCCGTATAGCAGTTAAAATCACACACCGAGTTGCTGCCTCAGCGAGAAATGGAGAATAATCAATCTGTTAGACGACATCTGGATGATGCTTTTACCCGAGGTCGAATCATTGGGAAGTTGGAGGAAGGCCGCAGTGTGACAAGTGTGGCTGCAGAGTTCAGAATTGCTCACAGCATCGTTTCACGACTTTGGAGACAATTTCAAAACTACAGGAACAGCTATCCGGGGGGTTTAGTAGTGGTCGTCCACGAGGAACCACACCCGCAGATGACCGGTATATTGCCTTACAGGCCAGAAGAAACAGGCGGCAGACAGCGGGAGAAATCGCTAGACACACGACACAGGCGATTGGACGACCGATATCGCGTTTTACCGTGGCCAGAAGACTGCACGGTGGTGGTCTGTTTGCACGACGCCCTGTACGGTGTGTACCTCTAACGCCTGCCCATCGGAGAAGGCGTTCTCTGTGGTGCCGGGAACACCGGAATTGGAGAGACAATGAATGGGGACGAGTACTCTTTACAGATGAGAGCAGATTCAGTCTGAGTAGCGATTCTCATCGCATACTCATCTGGAGAGAGCGGGGAAGCCGCAATCATCCCTCGAACATCATTGAAAGGGACAGGTATGGAAGTGGCGGTGTTCTCGTTTGGGGAGGCATCATGCTTGGTAGTCGTACAGACCTTCACATCTTCGACGCAGGTTCAGTCAACGGGACTCGTTATTGTAACGAGATTCTTCTTCCATATGTGCGTCTTTTTAGAGGCGCTATGGGTCCGCAGTTCCTTTTCATGGACGACAATTCACTATGTCATCGCACAGTAGCTGCCGAACAGCTCTTAGAGAGTGAGGATATTGAACGTATGGATTGGCCGGCACGATCTCCGGATCTCAATCCCATCAAGCATGTATGGGATTTTCTAGGCAGACGCTTGGCAGCTCGTACCTTACCACCAGTAACGATTCCGGAGCTTCGATTGGCGCTGCAAGACGAATGGGCAGCAATGCGTCAACAACTCATTGTCAGCATGGGCAGACGCTGTGAAACCTGCCTAGCAGTCAGGGGAGATCATATCCCCTATTAAAAAGACCCGGATGTTTTCTTGCTGGACACCCATCCATCACAGGGATGTTTCGGCCTTCAGTCGCATTGCGCTCCATGCTACTTTTTCAAAAGCTTCTTTTATCTCCTCTGACTCATGTCCTACTTTAGTAAGTGTTCGCTTACCAGTTAGACTGCAATAACACCACTCACCCGAAGGCAAAAATATAGAAAAGGCAAAATCAAGGGTTAAATTCATCAATTCTAATGAGAATGCAGTAGCGAAGTAAAGCACTGCGGTTTTACATAATTTCTGAGTAAGATATTTGTACGAATTGAAATAATTCTTGCATTTAAACTTGTATTCCAAATTAAGATTTAACTTGAAATTAATGTAGATAATTACTGAGAGAATTAGATTTTTGTAGCGTAGTTTACGTGAGATGAGATCACGTGGTGTTACGTGATACGAACCGGCAAATCAGGATGTTGAACCATGAAAACATAGTAAATTCTTAATGTCTTTTTACAAATTTATTATCTTTATTTATTGGCTTTTTACAAAATTTTAAAAGATATTAAAATGTTTGTGCCTTCAAAATAAAAAATTCTTAGAACTAACGTTTGTTAACATTTTTTATGTGTATATTGTATGTTGTCGTCAACAAGGTCTGCTTGGCGAGATTTGCACCAGTGAAACTGAAAAGTACCTCAGAAACTAAACATAAAGATTAAGTAAATAAATCTGAAGAATTTTTTTAAGGAATGAGCTGAGAGCATGAAAAATTAAAATGTATTTTTGAAAAAATATACAACAGTTCCTGAGAAGGATTTACAGGCATCCTTAAAAGTTTCATATTTAATTGCAAAAAATTTAAAACCTCATACAATTGGAGAATCGCTCATTCTTCCTTCAGCAATTAAAATGACATCATTTATGCATGCAGAAAAATATAGTAATGATTTAAAAACAATAGCATTAAAAAAGATACTGTTTCTCACCAAATTTTTGTCATATCAGACACTATAGAATACAAAATCCAGTCTTTACTATAAAACTTGATGAAACTACCGACATTACTAAAATGTTTCAATTCATCGTTTATGTGAGATATGTTTTTGAAAACGACGCAGTAGAATATTTTTTATGTTGTAATATTTGGGAAGGAAAAGCAACTGGAGAGAAAATATTTGAAATTATTAACAGACATTTTGAAACAAATAATCTTACCTAGACACACTGTGTCGCAGTTTGTACTAATGTAAGCTTTTAAAACTAAGCCAATACTTTGGCAAGGAGAATTGAACAAAAAAAAAAAAAAAAAAAAAAACAGAAACATGCTTTTTCACAATTTACTAAAGAAAATAATACAGATTTCTTGTTTAAAACAACATATGATAAAATTGACAGAAATTTTTTGAAAAATTTCCAAATAAGGAATTAGGTTGGATCTGTGACCCATTTTGCCTTTGGTATTTTCAATTCCAATGTATCTCTAAATGAAAAAGAACAATTAATTGATATTTTAAGTGACGGAATACTGTGTGTTAAGTCTCTAACTTGCCAAAAATTTTAGTTGATTGGAAACTAATATGCCGATTTAAAAGGAATGAAAGTAAATTATTACGTTTCTTACATAAAATTGTACAGTAAACCTTTAGCTTATATTTAAAACTTCTAAAATGCTTATGTTACATTTTTCTGTTATATAAGCATTGAAAGTGGATTTCTCACTGAAATAGAAATAATTTTGCTATTGAATTAACATGGAGAACTTTTTTATTGAAATATTTTTTTTTTCTCTGTGACATTAGTTGCATCTACTACAAAATAAAGATTAAAGAACTGTTTTTAAAACATTTTGAATTCGTTGTCATATTGATCTATGAAGCACTAGATTAGTGAGTTTTTATTACATTATTGACAAATATAGTTTTTAAACAATCAAAAAATTTTAAGCGGAGATAATTATTTGTCAAATATGAATGTGTTTTCAAAGAGGAAATAAATAATAAGTGACAAAAAAAAAAAAAAAAAAAAAAAATTCAGTCAGAACATTCACACCTCTAACAAAGTAATTTGCTTTGATTTAATCTTTATAATACAACATATTTTAAAATGATAAGGCAAAATCCAATGTGAAAGGTTATGCGAAGATTACGATAGTACCTATAGTATTCAGCATTTCGTATAATCCTATAACCAGATAATAATAATATTAAAATAAATTTTATCTGAATGAAGTTTTCTTATTACAGACACAGTAAAATTATGCAATTACATAAACGAATACACTTTCAGACAATATAATATACACTTCTGTTTACAAGCGCAAGCCAAAGTTCTGTTTATGTTACATCTCGCCCTTCAGCCATTGGGTGAGAGTAGGACGTGTTTTTGTGCGCTCCGTGGATTACCTCGTGCTTGCCTGCGCCATTTTCGCCGCCATCTTGGATGGTTTTGTGTTTTTTGGCTGTTACCCATCTTTTCGTGATTTCATATTGGATTACAAGTTTATTTGTGCTCAATGTGTATTTCTCGGATCTAGTGTAGTGCTTCGATTGTGATTTTTGTGAACTTCAGCCATTCAGGCGAAACTAGTCGATTTGTCCATGACGTCAAAAATTCCAAAAAGTGGGGTAGGGTTTGGAAATACGCACCTCGGCCGGAGGAAGCGGCGGGTAATCCTTCGGATCCATTGCTGACACTAGCACGTGTTAGGCTTAACACCCACAACGCACCCCATAGCACAAAACACGGTCAAAAACGTATTAATCCACAGTAATTAAGACTAGAATTACAGTAGAAACACTATTCATTCATAAAAAATATATTTCTTTATTTTTATTTTCCTCTCGGCTACAGTTGGCATCGAAAAATAAAATTGTAACCCTGTAGGCAACGGGGGAAAAAAAATTTTGATCGGCGCAGTTGGACTATATCTTACATTGCGTTTATCGCAGCTCTTGGCGATATTTTTTTTTTTTGTTTAAAATTCCGGGTGGGCTATACTAAAGCTGTGCCTTAATTTCAAACAATAAATATTATCTTCTTTATCAGTAATTTCATTTAGAATGGAACCTTTTATTGAACAAATTACCAACCGGGATACCAGATTCCTTTCAGAACAATTTTTACCTCTCTTGTGCTATTTTTAAAAGCTATTTTGACTTTGTCAATAGCGATTGTGTCCGCGCTATAAAAGTTTCCATTTGTTTTCCTCTCTTTTATGGCTGCCACTGTCCATGTCATTATCTGGTTTACGCTTAAGTTCACTAGGCATAATCCCAAACAATTCTTCTGGAAACAGAATACATTCGAATTAATTGAATTACCAGTAGAAAATATATACAGATAAACTTCTGGCAAAAAGATGTCCAATCACAAGTTACTAAATATTAAATGTTGCCATTCACAAATTATTAAATATAACTTATAAAGCACAGTCCGCTAGGAATCAAAGAGCGCGAGGATATAAATTATTATCCACGTACAACAAAAACTTGCTTTTGCAGGACATAAAGTTTGTCTGAGGAGAATCATAACTTTGAAATAACATAAAATCGCAAAAAGAAATATGGAGAAAAAATACAGCGGCAGCGTACTGTCCACCGACAGATGGCGCATTTACGTTTTCGACGAAGAGACGTATGTTTTGATTTTTATTTTGAAGAAAAGTAAAATAGATTAGAGTCGTTTAAATTTGAGAACTTAATAGGGAATTAGTAGGTCTGATTTTTTTATATACTTTGTTTTGTATTAAAAGTTGTAATCAATTGTAATGTTCATGAACACATCAATTAAGGAAATTCTTTGAAGCTTCTCGGAAATGTAAAATTACTCTTAGCATACATAATGTCATTATCCGCCCTTTCAAGAAATAACGTTCTGGTATAAACTGTGTAACTGTTTTTATGAATGAATAATAAGTTTTTAATTTTAATTATGTAATTTCGACAGGACTTAAAAGTGGGAGCCAGCACCGGTTCCCCATTTAGTTTTTCAGCGAAATTGTAATGCTTGACAGAACAGAGACACACACACACACACAAAAAAAAAAAAAAAAAAAAAAAAAAGAGCTGTAATATTGCTCATCATAAAGTCGCCAAATCCCGTGTGCACCGGATACTAGGATTTGTTAAAATCCTAGTTTACGGTGAAGCTTTGGCGTGACTTTGAAAATTATCGCCAACACCAAAAATGATCCAAAGAACGTCTATATATACACTATATACTAAGTGTGTATATACATAGTATATATACTATATACATAGTGTATACTATGTTTAACTATATATTTTCTTTGGATGACCCGTTAACTACTCATCGTATATGTCCCATTTTTACTGCTCATCATAAAGTCGCCAAATCCTGTGTGCACCGGATACTAGGATTAAACCATTTTGGTTTATTTCTGAACTCTTTGTCGTGCCAATTTCGAACAGCTTTAGTATTCATCCTTTTGGCGATTTTTTTATTTGGCGACAAACTTCGGTAGCCAAGGAAGACCTGGCTTTGAAAATCGGAAAAAAAATGGGGGATTGTCAACAAAACCGGATCTAGACTAAATAACAATCTTAAAAAATAAGCTCTTAATTAGAATAAACAGTCTTTCTCGAATTTTCAACATTTCTAGTACTGCTATATAAATCTTGAAACACTACCGTAAATGATTTATGGCAATGATTATGTTATGAGTAATGAATTTACAAAAGGTTAATTTTAATTTCAAATATCTTATATATTAAATATTAATTTTTAAGTAATTAGTTAATATTTATAATATTAGTATTAGCTATATTTTACATTACAAAAGGTTAATTTTTATGTTTCGAATAATGAAATTTACAAAAGGTTAATAAATGCATTTCAAACTAGTAGTATATGTTACTTTAGTTTCTTAGATTCTATTAGTAAAAGAAAATTTAAAAAAATACTTTCAAAGTGAAGGAAATCAAATTAAATTATAACGAGTAAATTTTTTACCAGTGTTGGAAATACTTTTTGATTAAATTTTGTAAATGGTAAAAATATTAAGTGTGTATTTTTTAATCACTCAATTTATTACAAGTAATTTATCATTATAATTTAAAAGCTAAAATTAAATTATCATGAGTAAATTTTGTACCAATGGTAATCATACACAACAACAATCATCATAACTAATGATTTCTGTGAAAGATTCGAACAGTCATTGGAATCCACTAGTGGTGGAGTGATAAGCCACTGAACAGTGGTAGTTCAGGCTCGCTATATGGGAGTTTTTGTGGTTTTCCTTACATGCAATGTGAATCTGAGACAGTTTCTCTCAAAATGTCCTTTATGAAGGCATCCTTCTGCTAGCCAGCATATATATTTATTTTCTATTCATAAATATTGTTCTCGCTTCTTATTTCTTAATTCTAAATCTTGCTTCTGAAATGAAGAATTGTTGCATCTATAGATCGAAAAATATGGATCAATATGTATTGCAAAATCCTGTTCAGTTTCGGAAAATATTAAATTAAATAATTTGTATATGATGCAAACATTTAAATAAAATAAATAATATGTATATGATGCAAACAAAAATGCATTACACTATTTCTTGTAGTGAATAATTAATCAGGGAACAAAGTATAATGCAACATTCTTTTATTTTGTAATCATAGTTTTTTTATGTTTGGGATCATTACTGTCATTTTCCCCATTCCGTTTTCCTACCAAAATCCAAATGAAGTTTTTAGTTTGTAAACAACCGTGATTTGCCTTTAGAGGTCATGTTACTAGATTGCTAGATAAGATAAGATTTGTAGTCTTCAGTCCTGCATTATAATTGCTGAAAGCTGAATTCAATGTCGGTTAAGTTTTGAACCAGCTTTGCATTAAATTGATTTGTGTAGCGTCTGGCTACAAATTTATTTGAATTTAAATTTTACATTTGAACTTAATTGTTATCATAAGTTATCTTGCCACAAGTGGTTGACTGAGTTGTAAGCACAAGTGCCTTCTGTTCAGTACATTTAAATTTTTTAATAGAATAAAAGTATATCTTAACTTAATAAAAATATATCTAAACTTTATAATAATTACATTTAAAGACATTGAAATCAGTATCTGAGTGCTTGCCATGTAGTCAAATTATTATATATAAATAGTACTCTTACTTTTAAAATAGAATTTTTATTACAAAAAATTCAGATCTCTGTTAGATTAAATGTTTAAGTAATGTAGAAAATGTGCATAAAATTTAAAATAAAAAGTCGACTGTTATGTCAACATACTATTAATAAAAGTAATAATACTCAGTGAAGGTTATTCATATACAGTGGGAGATTTATAAAATTTGAGAACTGTAAATTATAAGCAATATATTCCATAATCTAAGCAACATTATATTTTTTATAGTCAGACAAATTATAAAAATGTTATAAAAGCAATAATGAAACCTAATTTTGGTCTATAAATTCATGCAATTACACATCCCTATAGTTCTAATTTAAGAAATGAGGCAAAAAAGTATTTTTAGACCATGGTAATTTTGATCATTGCCCATTTTAAGAAACATCTAAAGTCTAAATTTGCATGTGGTTCCTTAGCAAAGGAAACACCAAGAGTTTACCTCATGCTACTAAAAATGTGTTTTTTTTTTTTTCTTTGGGGGGGGGATGCAGTGTTGACATATGAAAAAAATGTCAAGACTCGTGATGTAATATTAAAAGCATCAGTTTTAACTATCAAATTTTTGCCTTTTCTAAAACTATTTTAAATGTTGTGCTTTACTAACATGAAAGTAACTTTAAGAAAAACATGCAATTTATCTTTCCTGCCATCAAAGCTCTGATACCTACCAAATTCATTAAAGTTTCGTGGACAGAAATGGCGGCATGTTTTACAGTTCAGAATTTGGGGTTACCATAAATAACAAGGTTATCATAATCTTTCATTTATCGTGCTAAAAACATTTCTCGCCAAAAAGGACTAATACTAAAGCTGTGCCTTAAATCTATGAAATTTTAATTTTAGCTTATTTATATTTAGTTTTAATTATTTATTATTTTATTGAATTTTTAATTCACCTTTCCTGGCATTTGCTCCGGCATTTCAAAGCTTAAAAGTTATAGTAGATTTAAGGGAAATAATTGATTAGAGAAATTTTACAGTTTCAGTGTAAATTCTGAATTGTTTGTTTTCTTTTATCATTTATAAGAAATTCATATTTCAAGTATTACACAAAAGTATGATCAAAACCTTTCTTTTTTTTTTAAAAAAAAGAAACTTTAAAACTTATTATTCACAATAATAAATATTATTGATTATTATAATTGATTTTTAAAAAGAGTTAAAAATGAACTTACATAAATATTGAAGACACTTAGAATATAAAGTTAATGTTTAATAAAAATATGCAAATATAGAACATTTAATATTTAATTAGATGCAGCTAAAAATACATTTTAATGCATTTTTCATTTCAAGCTCAACTTGTATTTTTTTCTCCTTCCTGGATGAGAACTGATTATGTCCTATTCCTCTAGGGAAATTACTTTCAGTTGGACTTTTAAAAATATATGTTTTTTCGGTTGGATCCTAGCACAGCCCAAACCCTTGGCGCGCCCACCTATATGGCGCTTATCGATGTGTACATGGACAAAGTCAAGGAAGTGTGCAATGCCAAGTTTGTGCAATTCTGGGATATTTTTTTAAGTGAAAATAGGTCGATGTGTACATGGATACCGAGTTTGTGCAATTTTTGACTTATTTTCAAGTTGGCAATTTTGAGAAACGCACGAAGCAGTGGGTGATTCTGCACTTTCCCAGTGTGTCGCCAAGGGTGTGGGCTCTCCTAGGATTTTACCATTTTTTCTTCTGTGATCCATTTCTTGGATATTTACTAGGGTTTAAGTCTGGTGAATGCAGACTTTTGATTACTTCAGGGCAATTATCAAAAGTTCTGATAATTCCAGGGCAGTTATCCATAGCCATAGGATCTAAATATTCAGAGCTGTATATTTAGAATTACCATCCTGATAGAACCCAAATGCATTTTTTCCAAATTTGTGCGCTATGTCCAGGCGTCAGAATATTTATATATTTAAACTGACACACGCAGTGCTTTCTATAAAAAGAACATTCCTTGTAATAGAGGCAGCAAAGTATTTTCTATCTGTTATGATTAACATGGAACAAACAGCAGTTTTGAATTCAATTTTTGAGCATTTGCTGCAGAGGATTTGTTTATCAGAACCAAGTACATTAAATTTTAATTTCACTGCAAATATTACATTATTCCAATTTGATAAATGTTTAAACATGGTAAGTGTAACTTTCTAGTTTTCTTGTTAAGAAAGCATTTAACCCTACCCCTGCATATGCTGGCATAGTATCATACTGTGATATTTGCAGCTTGGGGGCACAGTAAGATGTATCTGGTTTCTACTGCCTAAAAGGACAGCCTATGCTCTCCTGGATGGAAGTAGCTTTGGCCATCAAAGTAGATGATGGGCATGAATATGGTGTTTTAGTCTTTGTTGCCTCTCCTGTTGTGGCCTCCGACACCTGAGGTTTGATGAGTGCCCTGTGTGCCGGTTTAGCAATGGGACGTCGAGAGGGTAGAGTGGTTTTGGTTTCGATAAGCCTGCGTTCCGTATTGAGACCCTTGGTTCATAGCAATAAGAAATTTGTTTCCCTCTCACTGAGAAAATTCATGACTAATCTTCCTAATATGAAGGATCTTCAGTTGCAAACATATTTCTTAGTTGCAGGAAGGGCATAAAATTTTGATTGATTGCTATTTGTTTGTGTTTCATAGCTATATGTCTTGATGGTTGAAAAGTATATTTACGGTTGCTTCTTGGTGAAAATTGGCGATTTTTGGTGGTACGTGTAAACCAAGTTTGACTTGTTATTTTGACTTTTTGTGCCAAAGATCACCGCTACACAAAGACAAAATAACAAGTCAAAGAACTGCTCAAAGTTGGTATCTATGTACACATCAACCTATTTTCACTTAAAAAACATCAGACAATTCCACAAACTTGGCATTGCACACTACCTTGACTTTGTCCATGTACACATCAATCTATTTTCACTTAAAAAGTCAAAGGAGCATCCAATTCTACAGTAGAGCTTAACAAAAAATACATAATCTCAATACACTACATTTTAAGTCAAATAATAAAATAACATAAAAAAGGAAATTCATTTTTATGAATCGAAGCACTATAAACAGCAAATATCCACTTATGTATAAATTTCTGCGTCTTCAGTTTTTGGCACACAAAATTTCTTAACAGCATCCAAAAACTTACTAAAATTATCTGAACCAGAATCTGTATGTCAGCGTCGCCACATAATGAAAACTGATAATTAAAAAAAATATCCTCCTTAGTGCCAGTATCCTCTGACATTCGACCATACGCATTTCCTTCATACAAACAGGACACTTACAATGGTTACCAAGTAAACCTTCATTTTACGCACCAGCCAATTAATGCTTTTTTCCTTTTTGTTCCAAATTGTACAGAAACTTCAAATTAATCTTGCCACATTCTACCGTCTAAACCACAAAACAAGCAATGTACTTCCTAACCAACACACACCACAAGCCTTTACAAATCTTTTCCCATCATTCAAAATTTACTGCAGTCACGCAACCGATTATGTAATAGGGTTTCCATAACATTCAACTACTCAGGTTACCCTAAATGAAACAACAACTTCGCGATAATATAAGGGGCACCCTTCAATCTACTCTAATGTTCTTGATGATTTGTCTGGCAGTTTTAGGATTAACTTTCATTGCAAATTTTTCTAATTCAGATTTTACACCACTAAGCTTTAGGTTTTGGTTGAATTTTTTCAAGGTAAATTTGTAATTCATTGTTGTTAGTGAGGAATGCTATCCTGATTTTGATCTCATTTCAAATATTCTGTGCAATACCTACAAAATCATCATTTTATAACATTAAAAACAGTTGAATGTTTTAATTTTTGCAATCGTGATCCTTTTTTTTTAACTGCCTTTAAAATGCTGTATAATTAAATTTCGAGAAAACTATATTTACGGGTGCCCCTTGGCGATTTTTGGCGGTACATGCACAAACTCGGTATCCATGTACACATCGACCTATTTTCACTTAAAATAAAATCAGAGAATTGAAAAACTTTGTCGGTTAGAGTAGAGAGAAGAGTACCCCTTATATTATCACAAAGTTGTTTCATTTATTGCCAAGTGGTGGTTTATTTATGGTAGCCTGAGTAGTTGAATGTTATGAAAACACTATTTTGATGTAATTGGTTGCATGATTGCGGTGAATTTGTAAGGGCTTGTTGTGTATGTGTTGGTCAGGAAGTACATTGCTTGTGTTCTGGTTTAGACAGTAAAATGGCTGAATGTGGTAAGATTAATTAGATGTTTCTGTACAATTTGGAAAGAAAAGGGTACCAGTAAATATACTTTTACCACTTTGTCCATGTACACATCGATCTATTTTCACTTAAAAAGTCAAAGGGCAGCCAATTCTACACTACAGCCAAACAAAAAATATATAATCTCAGTAAACTACATTTTAAATCAAACTGTGAAATAACATAAAAATTCATCTTAGCACTATACAAAGGAAATATCCACGTACCTTATTTAGAAATTTCCATGTCTTCAGTCAAAAAAAATTCCTTAGCAGCATCTAAAAACTTTTTTAAGTTATCTGTACTAGAATCTGTATACTGGTGTCATCACATAAATTCACAAAAAGAAGAGTAAAAAATATCCTCCGTAGTGCTGGTATCCTCCGACGTTTGACCCTAGGCATTTCCTTCGTACAAGCAGAACACTTATAATGGCTATTAAGTAAATTGATTAGAGTATATTTAAGGCTGCCCTTGGATTATCTCTAAGTTGTTTCATTTATGGTAACCTGAGTAGTTGAATTTTATGGAAATCCTATTATGACGTAATTGGTTACATGATTGTGGTGAATTTGAATGATGGGAAAAGATCTGTAAGTGTGCTTGTGTGGTGGATTATGGTTAGGAAGTACATTGGTTATTTTGTGGTGTACACAGTAAAATGGCTGAATGTGGTTAGATTAATTTGAATTTCTGTATGATTTGGAACAAAAGGAAAAAAAGCATTAACTGACTGGTGTGTAAATGAAGGTTTAAAAGTATATTTATGGTTACTCCTTGGTGAAAATCGGCGATTTTTGACGGTACATGAATACCGAGTTTGTGCAATTCTTTGACTTGTTCTTTTAACTTTGTGTAGTGCTGATTTTAACGCCAAAAATCACCGCTACACAAAGACAAAATAAAAAGTCAAAGAATTGCACAAACTCAGTATCTATGTACACATTGACCTATTTTCACTTTAAAAAAATCCCAGAATTGCACAAACTATGCATTGCGCACTTCCTTGACTTTATCCACGTACATGTCGATATATATTCACTTACTAAGTCAAAGGATCGCCCAATTCTAAGTAAAAGTGTATTTACAGAACTTTCAACTACTCAGGTTACCATAAATGAAACAACAACTTAGCAATAATACAAGAGGTACCCTTCAGTCTACTCTGACCGGCTTGTTTGCTTGTTGGATGGTGGTTAGGAAGTACATTGTTAGGATATAGATTCTAGTTCGAATAATTTTAATAAGTTTTTGGATGCTGTTAAGGAATTTTGTTTTACTGAAGACGGGGAAATTTCTAAATAAGGTAAGTGAATATTTCCTTCATGTAATGCTTAGATGAATTTCCTTTTATATGCTATTTCATTGTTTGATTTAAAATGTAGTTTATTGAGATTACATATTTTTTTGTTGGCTGCTCCTTTGAATTTTTAAGTGAAAATAGATCGATGTGTACATGGACAAAATCAAGGGAGTGCGCAGTGTCAAGTTTGTGCAATTCTCTGATGTTTTTTTAAGTGAAAATAGGTCGATGTGTACATGGATATCGAGTTTGTACAATTCTTTGACTTGTTATTTTGGCTTTATGTAGCAGCAACTTCTGTTGCAAAAATCCCCGCTACACAAAGCCAAAGTAACAAGTCAAAGAACTGCACAAACTCGGAGTCCATGTGCCACCTAAAATCACTAATTTTCGCCAAGGTGCACCCATACATATCTTTTCACCAAGAAATTTTATCAGTGGAATTTTTATAAGTGCATATTATGAATATACAATGTTAATGTTTATGAGTTTCAGTTCTGATATTAGTTTAAAAGGTAGTAATTATGTAATATAGAAGGTATCACTAAAATTGGTTGTTGTTTTAATCATTTCTTTTTTTCCTGCCATCTTATCGCACATTCATATATGAAAAGTGTTGATTTTTTTATTTTATGGACATCTGAAATTTAATTTTTAGGTAATCAAAATTTAATGGACTATTAAATTAATTAATGGAACCATTTTCAGTTATATTTTCTTACTTATTGTTATTTATTTTCATATTTAAAAATAGTACACAATTTTTATTAAAACAAATAACTTATGTATTAAGAGTATTTTTTTAGGAATTTAAATTTAATGGGTTATTAAATTAATTAACAGAATCATTTTTATTTATGTATGTTTATTTATTCGTATTCAATTTTATATTTAAAAATAGTGTTTTAATGGCAACATCTAAAAAACAAATAACTTTATAAAAGTGGTAGATTGCATTCTACATTGTTACTGTGTAAAGAAACACATAATTTTTAGTTAATGCAGTGCTGTGAATGAAAAACAAGGTTCTATAAAATAATATGGGTCCAAGTATTAACTAGGAGCTTTAATAATTTAAATATTTTTATTTTTATAGGCTTTCTAAGTTGTTGATTTTTGATTTGTTATCAAAAGTGTGATTAAGTGAAGAAAGTGTTTTTGCTCCTGAAAAAGAAGGACTGTGTTCACCTTCAAAACTAAAAGAATTTTATTGAAATTTTTACTAGATTAAAGTTGCTTTTTTGCCTGTTTTTAAATTTTATATTGACATATTTCTCTTCTATTTTGATCTTTCTGTTATTTCTAATTTTCAGGCATGATATATAACATCAAAAATTTGTAGACTTCATATCTTGTTAACCCATACTTAATCAAGAGTTTCTGGCTGGTACTTTTTTATATGTGCAGTTCATTATCATACTTCGATCAGATGCTAGTAATTACAGCAGAACTGCAGCATGAAATGGCAAGTACATTATTTCAATTGATTTAAAGTCTAATTTTGGTTTGGAAAAATACATTATCAAATAGAAGAGAAATATGCCAAAAAATTGGACGAAAAAGCAAAATTTAAAACTGGAAAAGAACAAATTTTGTTTAACTTGGATTTTGAATAAAATTTTGAAGGTCATAAGACACACATCCTTGTTTTTCAGAGGTAAAAAGCTTTTGCTGTTTTCTTTCTTGTTTTTTTTTTGGGGGGGGGGGGCTCCTGAAGAAGAGGGGCCTGTGCCGGAACACCTTCAAATTGTATACCAAAGAAGGTTGCTCCCCCTCCCAATTTTAAAAGAGCAGTTATTTTAAAGCAGACATGTCGTTTTGAAAATATATATATATATATTTTTTCTTTCACAGTTCTTTAAAAACTTCTTATATCACAATCTGTAAGCTAATACTAATATTTCCAATCATCATAGATAATCATACTGTTGTGAATTAAAGCTGTTGAGTATAAGTTTGAAACAGAGGTCATCATATTTCCTATTGATAGGAACTCCCTTAAAGAACATTTTTGGTACCAAAAAATCCTATGTTTTTATTTATCGCTATTGTCTAATTATTTATTTTTCATTTTCTATGTATTTTCTCATGATCTGTAAAAGATTCAATATATTTTTTTTTCCCTTTGTTTCTGAATTTTGGCCATGAGTATACAATTATATTTAAAATGTTGCTTTACTTTTTAAGAGTATTTCTTTAATATATTTCACATCCATTTATCTGTAGATGAGTTAATATGGAAGAGAAAAAAAAGAAAAGCAATATGGGAGAAACAAAATTAGAAGAAATCATTGATAAAGAAGAAGGAAAATTCAGATCAAAGGTTTAGAATGTATTTTTTGAAGATGTCTTAAAACTGTAGTATTTTCTGATTATCTATAAACCAACCAGACATTTGCAAACTTGTTGGTATTCTGGAGAGAAATGTTTGGGTATCTTTATTTCAACAATGTGTCTAGTGCTTCTAATATTTTGCATTTTTCTTTTTACATAGAAGACACACATGCTTCTCAGTTTATTTGTGCCATTGTTCTCCTCGGTTACCCGAAATTTCTCTAAAAAATCACTGCGATATTTTATTAAATAAAATGTCACAGGATTGCCCAAATTCAATACTGTGCACTATCTCATCTAAATTCTGAAATGAGAGTTAAAAAGAGGCCATGATACCTTTCAGTGAGTTTGTGTATTCAGAAAGCTAAATTTTTTATTAAGATTTTGCTTAACATGATGAAAACTGCAATATGCTGTTCACTCCTATGTGAAACTGCTGAAATTCCCATAGAAATGATCAGAATTAGTGGTTACACCAGTCAAAATATTCAGAGATGCGGAAAGCCATCTAGGAGGATGCTATGCACATTTATAGGTTGCCATGAATTGTGACAAAAATATTTTTATTGTGTTACCTTCTCAATATTTTATCACAGCTTTTCATGGGATTGCAGATAATCAGGAAGTACTAAATTGTAAATTGTTATATGTAGGTGGTTAATAATTGAGATGATTTTTTAATATCTAATCAGAATTTAGTAGTATGTACAAATTTTTTTGTAGCATTTATAATAAAATTCATTGACATAAAATTTGATAAAAAATTTTATATAAATGATTATTGACATATATGCACATTTGCATAGTATAGTGCTGGTCTGTGAAAGTTGATGAGATTTCAACAAAGTTGTGCCATTCATAGAGTGTTCTGAATTGCACTTCAGTAATTTTTACAACAGTGCATACTGGGAGAAAAATTAACTAATGCTTATGGAACAAAATTAATATGTGAATGGCCACCCCAAGTGTATTGTAATGTAATAAACATCGTACCCAAGTGTACCATATTATTATAAATGCATAAAAGTCATTTGTGCAGTAGTGAATACTCGTATATTAAATCTATATTTTCTTAAAATAGCTCTTATATTTTTATTTTGCCATAAATTAATTTTTTGATAAGTAAGCCCTTTTAATTACTCCTTTAGTAAAGGATTAATCTATTGAAAATAAGAACCTTTTTCAAGGCTTTTTTAGTTGAAAATGGGAAAGGACAGATATGAGCAGCTGCTTAGATTTGTGGGTAGAAAGATAGTTCATCTTATTTTTTTGTGGGGGATTAAACTCCCCCCCCTGCATGAGCCATTTATTTGTAGTTCTCCTTCACAGTGAATTCTTTTTCAAGATTCTGAGGATGATCCATTTAGACTTTTAATTCTGACACAAGTAAACCTGTGTGTCAACTTAATATTTTAACTTTAGATCTGTACCTACCTATGCATAGATTTTGTATTGTGTTATTTTCAATAATTTTGTCTATTTATGACTGTTCGTTTAAAAGCTATGATTAATTGAAGGCAAATTGTTGTAAAACTTTTATTCACTGAGTAATTCAAGCAGTAGTGAACTTTTGAACAAAGGTGAAGAGAGGCCAAATTTGGAAAATAAAAAGTGCCCTTTTTTTAAATTTAATAAAAAGTGGCTGATTTTCATGCTTCATTGCATTTTAAAAGGTTTTTCAAAATGTTACTGATCTTTAGTTAATTGTATAGATCAGGGATGGTCAAATTTCAAAACTATGGGAACCACGTGATAGATTTTATGAACGTTCGAGAGCCACAAGTCTAAAATTATATCGTTTCAAAAATGAGACAGGTTTTTAACATAAAGAAACTTTAGAAGTAAATTAATGAATATGTACATATAAATATGAATAAATACATCCTATGTCTGCTTTTTTGTGTTCAGAAAAGTTAAGTCTCAAGAAAATAAAAATTTGTAACGCTTGTACTGAGCAACTGAGCGTTTATTTCTTCAGGTAGAGAAACCAAATATTTTCTTCTGATTTCCTTTATACCTCTTCATTTTTAGTAATTGTTGTTTTATTTTAGTAGAAGAAAAATGAATCGGAAGCTTATTAACTCAGAAGTCTTTTAGAAAGGGTAAATTTAATGACACACGTACTCTGCAAAGAAAAAATATTTATTTAAAAATAAGCTATTAACTTGTTTAGGATTTTGCTTAAAAAGTAATTTTGTTTGTCTACATAATTAACATAAGGACCAATATACTGAAATCATTTATAGACCGTAAGCCAAAAAATCATTAAACGTATGTTCCCATAACTTTAACTTGGAATAACTACTTTTACTGATGCTCAGTATAGAAGAATTCACCAAAAAAGAACATGATTGCAATTTCAGTGGAATTTGAATAATCAATATCTCTTATGACACCCCTTAGTGATGTAGTATTTTAGCACGGCATCCAATGGAATCTGCCAGAATTTTTTAGTAATCAGTACACTGCACATCATTGAAAATTCTCGAAACTATCTGTTGAATTATCCCGATAATTTTGGACATAGATAATGAAGTTCAGGTGCATCATTGAAAATTCTTGAAACTATCTCTTGAATTGTCCTAAAAATTTTGGACTTAGATAACAAAGTTTCATGGTCATCATTGAAAATTCTGGAAACCACCTCTTGAATCGTTAGGATAATTTTGGACGTACATAACCTATTGCTAATAAATCTAGTAGTTCATGCTGGGCTATATAAATGCTTCGTCGAGCATATATTTCTTTTGTCTACCAGCCAAACTCTTCAACCTAGCTGTTTAATTTTGATCTGTGTTTCAAATACATGGCAAATCAAAAATAATGTTACAAAAAGAAAACGTACCTGTCACTGCTATAATGAATTTATTTCAAATTGCAGATATAACATGAGCGTATAACTTAATATGGTATACAGGGGTGTAGTCAGCCCTGAATTTTTTATTGGGGGGGGGTATTCATTTGTTGAAACAGAGCTTCTCCAAAAGAGACTAATTTTTTACATAATAAAATACCTGATTCAAATTCAGATCTTTGCGAAAAGATCAGGATTTCTTCATAATTTTTAAACTAAAATTAATTAAATTTAAAATAATTGAAATGTTTTAATTCTATGATTTAATGTATTGTAATATATAGAATTAATTACTTAGAGTATTTCCGTTATACATGACATCCTTTGAACTGATAACCTGATGTTCGTATTCTGATGGTAGGCTACAAGTAGTGTAAATATAAAAATTAAACCTTTAATTAAAAGCATTGAACAAAATTGTAGGTAAATTTGAAAAGCTATAAGTCTCAGAAATTTTGAACTTATTATTTCAGTTTTTTTTAACATACTGTTAATTTCAATGCTTACAGAACCTTGTATTTTTCTTTAAAAACTTCCCATGCAATTGGTATTATGGGCCACAAATTTTAATTTTAATTATTATTTTCTCATATAAAGGAATGATAAATTAAAATTATATTATTAATTACATATTACATTTATAATATCTGTTTTTTTATTACTTAAAACAGAGTTTTTATTGCCATATTAGTCCCCCAAGAGCTTTACTTCTATGAAAATACAAATGAGCACATATTCTTTGCAGTTTAAATTTTTCATGTATTTATGACATTTATATAATTTTAGTAATGTATGATACAAATGTGAGAAATAATGATTGGTATTGTGAGACGCACAAAAGTGAGAAATAATTTGTAGTAACTGGCTTCTGCTGCATTTTAATAAACAAAAATAGGATTCTTCTCTTCCTGATATGCAGTCCTGGTATTCAGCATTTACTACAGATGATTTTTTTTAGTGGACAACATTAAAAATCTACAAAATTTCAGGTACACTGTTTTGAGTTATTAAGATAATTCTAAGTTATATTTTGGTAAGTTTGAAAAACCTAAATTACTCTACATTCACTTCGTTCAGCAACATTAGGTGCAACTTGATGCAGATAGTACTAGAAATTGATCCTCTGCCTTTAAAGTCTTTATCATATTTAAATGCATTATACTCATGGAAACGACAGTTATCAAATGAATTTTGGTTTCTTAATCATCATACTTATATACTATTTGATTATTGTATGACTTTGTGCTAATTAACCAGCTATTATGAGTTGAGCAGCTATTGTAACTTCTTTTCACAGTCCTCACCAGTCAATGCAAATTAGTTATCATGTGTTAAGGATTGAATGTTTAGATTTAGAAATTCTGGCAGCCTCATTTTGCTTATTGGCAACTCTGCCAAAATTATTCTGGCTTTAACATCTCGCTAGCCATAATACATGCCATTAACTAGTATGAGCTAGCTTAAATAATCTATTGTGTGTGTACTCTCAGACTGTTATATACATTGGAATTTATCGTATGTTAATTTAAATACCCGCAAGTAGTGAAGGTTGATCTTTCACACAAGCAGTACTTTTTGTTCATTTAAAAGTTAAATAAAGAGGTTATTTTTACCTTCTTAACATTTGTAATTGTTTTAGAGTATATAATCTGAATAAACTGCTTTTTAAATTGAACAAGGAAATAACATAAAAATGGAAATACATGTTATATAATCTGCGCAGTACAAAAAGGAAATATCGACTTACCTTATTTAGAAATTTGTGTTCCTTCAATATGTGTGACACTCAGAATTCCTTAACAATCCACAAATTGTCTAAAATTATTTGAACTAGAATCTGTATATTGCCATTGCAACATAAATTCACAAAAATAAGAATCAAATTTAATTCAGTCTTAATCATTTTAGTATTAGCTTCATACACCCACATCCACGTAAAAATTAAAATCCCAACAATACATAAATGACTCTCCTCAAACCATGATCCCTTTCTAATGGAACACTTTATAATAGTGAGCATTTGAACTTTTCTTGCAACAAACCTATTCAAAGCCATCTGAACAATCTTTATGTTCGACCATATGCATTTTCTTCATACAAGTAGGACACTTATAATGATTACTGAAAACAACCGC